TCTCTCTCTCTCTCTCTCTCTCTCTCTCCTTAACCTGTGCCTACCGATAGACAGGGCATTGAGTAGAGAAAGTGTGTTTCTGAAGGAGGTCACAGATTGATGACCACGTGCTACCTGTGCCGCAAATTGTGGTGGTTTTGTACTAAACTGTATTCAAACAAGTTATCAAATTGTATGACAAAAAATGTATGAATTTTCAAAAAACTCAAATCACACGCCTATCAAAAGTAACCCTTCATTTCATTTCTGGCATTCATTTCGCTATTATTTCTTTTCATTTTTCTCTAACTTTTGACAATTTTTTCTACAATTGAAGGGAAAGTGAATCCACTTTTCTCTCGTAAACAGTATTGAAAATTCGTGAGAAATTTAGCCAAAAGTTAGTTAATAGCAGTGCTTTACAAAACCCATAATATTATGACTAGCAATGCATCAATGGATAGGGTGTACAATATTGGGTTCACTAAAACCTCATTTTCTCACAAACAGTGACTTTCCTCTTAAAACTGTCTCTTTAAGGATATTAAACCAAACATCTTATAGTCAAATGTCAAACACACCAAATGATGGGTCACATGAAGGTATCCTAACCTAAACACTAATTACTGTTTTCCTACACCGTATTCACTCCCTTCACAGAAACTTAATTTAAAGTTCATTATACAGAATATCGGTTACTGACATAGCCTTACGTGTTGTGCAAACAATCATTTAATACCAGATCTAAAGAACCAAATATGAAATCAACATATTCTTCAACCTCTGGTGGTCTATAACTCACTCAAAGTAATCAAAAACTCATTACATCTTCAATAACAAGTATTTTCATACAAAACTGAATTATTCAATATTCCTATCATTTAATGAATGACTGAATATAACTGAATAATATTTATTGATTTAATGTTAAAATATTTTCTAATCGGATATGACTTGTAAACCAAAGGCCAAACAAAGCAAAGCACATACGAACTGATTGTATCGATATTAGAAACCAATAATCTTTTTATTAAAGCTATAATTCATTTTTTAATATATTATATTGTTATTATATGAAATCATTGATACCTATATGATTTATAAAACATTTATTGAATAGAAACAAGTGATGTGAATAAAGATATGACAGTATTGTTCACCGGATACGGTGTGTAGCAAAATATTGGAAGAAGTGTTTTCCTATTCAATACCTGTAATGTCAATAAGCCTATAGTTTATGTGCAATCCATAGGTCTTTATTAGTGATGAATTTTCTACACTTTTAAAAAACAACTAAATAACAGATCCTTTGCTATTCGACTGGAATAAGACTTATTTTTTATATACATTTCTTTATGTGAAGTGCTTTTTTAGTTAAAGATTTTTGTCTCTTTTAAACTTTCAATTTTTTTCGGTCGAAACTCTGTGTCGTTTGCGAACATCTTTTTGTCCTAAAAGTTATTTAATCGTCACTACAAGAGTCTAGTGGTCTCTGAAACCAATCACCTGTCTATGAAACATATGTTTTGTTGTAAAAAATATACCAAAAATGAAATGTGAAAGTGGTTTAAAAGAAAGTAACAAAAAAAATGTTGACTTATTGTTCGCCACAAAAACCTTTGAATTTGAAATTAGAGTCAATAATTCATAATACAATTCTTCTTCGCTTACTGTTTAACATTTTTAAAAATTTATTTATTTTTCAGAATAATTTCATTTTTGACATAAATACTAGTTTTCTCTCTTTTTTCTTGGTTTGATATAATGCAAGCTTTTTGTGAAGAACCAGTGTTTTTGGTCAACATTTTTATTACTTATACTACATTTTTATACCTAATATTATGATTGTTATAGTAATGCAATGAACTGCACATTATTATTGTTGGAATGCAATGAACTCATTGTACTATTTCTTAGGCTTTTCATCTTAATGTTAGGCTTAGGGTTAAAGTTGATGTTCAATTCGAGGCTAACTTTTCAATGCCTTTTGCTTTCATTTTTCATCCAACAAAATGAGAACAAAAACAATCATAAAGTCATAAAATTTAATTTTGCTTTTGTTACTTTCACTCCTACTTATTGTTAATAATGAATTGGTTATCATTACTGGTATTTGTTTATAAAAATATTTATTTGAAAAAAATGAAACGACAAAATATCCCACACTTTCTGTCACTTTATTTTATGCAAGAATTTTAATATAATAGTTATTCTCATTTATAATATGATAAGTGAAGTTAATGTCAATAAATAGTTTAGAAAAGCTTTTATAAATTAAATGAAATACAAATTATATAAGAATCGAGAAATATTTAGATAGAGAGATGAGGCAGAGGTGCCAAAGGTATGGGTTGAAGGCATTGATTGTGTTTGCTGTTCATATCATAGGCATAATTGTGTGATTGAAGGAGTTTGTGAGGATTGGAGTTGGAAATGGTGTTACGATAGCAGTGATAGCAAGTGATGGTTAGGGCGCACAAGAGGCCGATTACCGTCAGCGCAGACAATGCGATCAGTAGTAGTGGAGTAAGACATTGTTCATCCAATTGCTTCATATATATCTGATGTTTGGCTACAAAAAGTAATTATGCGATCAAATGGTGGCAAACATTTTTGATTGTCTTACGTTTGATAGTTTTGATGGTTTTGTGACTTTCATTGTGGATGGAGTGGCGGTCGTGTCTGACGGGCAGTGCGTTTGTGAGACTGATTAGTGACAGAAGTGAATCCCAATCGTTGTGTTCATTGTTGTTGTTTGCCGTCAGCTCTCTCTCCATAATTATAGCTCTTTTGGCATTTCGTTGCTTTCGATGCGAAGACTCTCTCTTTATTCGGTGAAGAGATGGACTAAAGCCTATGCCTCTAGTGTTGTCACATTGAATCTAAACGTATATATTTGCGAATTGATCTCAAAATACCAGTATTTAGAGTGAGAGCTAAAGTTGGACTAAACCTATCATTTATTCGCGTTTTATTTCATACCAAGAAAGAAATTCACAGAAAGCTATCGACTATTGACTATTGAGTAATAACTTTTGAAAGATCTAGAGCTCTGACCCAAAGCACTGGAAGCACACTAACAATACATTCAATACATACAGTATAGAAATATATTGATAAAATATCAATGCACTCGCATTTCATCGATACCTCAATTATGCCCACAATTATTGTGATATAAATTCAAATTAAGAATTATTTCGGAATTTGAAATAATCAACAAATTTAAAGCTTTAATCTTATTATTAAAGAAAAGTTTGCGTAAAAAAGTAAGAAAAGTATTACTGGAGTTATCCTTACCTGAGGACATGTTTTGTTGCATATAATTAATGTGCACTGAATATTGAGATTTGTTTTGTCGGGAAATTTGAATGCGGGAAATGTTGTGAAATACACTTTGAAATCGGACGGAGGATTTGGCATGAGTTGAAAATTCGGCAAAATATTCATATCGATTGAACACCTTTTGAATAAATTGGCGTTAATTAGTCTGGGATTCAATTTTTGCTGATTATTTGAACAGATTATTCTTATAATTGTAATACTCTTGTATTGATTTGTTTAGATCTCAATCTAATAAGCATTGTATTCATGAGAAAAAGTTGTGGATTGTATTGAAAGAGAAAAATTACATAATTATCAATGCGTTGGAAATTTAATCCGTAAAATATTGTGTTGCTATCAATCATTATTACATAAAACCACTAGCTATAAGTTTTAGACTTAAATAATAATAATAATAAAACGATCCTTTGATTACTTTTTAAGAAGTTTAAAAGATTTGCTGCTTTCTTAAGTCTCAAAGAAAATCCCAAAAACAAGAATATTATAATATTAGAGTCGAGTTAAATAAAGCAATGTTGAAGTCATTGGCAATGTTTTGGTGCTTTGAATATTCAGTTTCACATTTAATTAGAAAAGTGAAAAAATCAATTTTGCAAAAACTGTTTTGAAAACTTTAAGAAAAATGATGGATCCGTTCGGACGAATCATTGCCTCGGAATATACGGCAAAACAAGAATATTTATATGTAAAACAATTATTTAAAATTATTTTGGTGTCTATAAAGCAGATAAAAGCATGTGAAATAACAAATTGCTTTTATACTACAGGCGTTAATGACTTTGAATTAAGATTATTGACTTATGAATGACAATGAATTACATATATTTGGATTCAATTTACTCTTTCATATAGTTGTGTAATTGAAATCTATTAGACACTACTATATGCACAGACAATGGCCATTGAATGCAATGCTATTAGAAACTGAATGTTATTCATTGTCTAAAATATATTCTCGTTAATAGAAATCAAGTATTGATTTATTCGGTTTGTATTATAAATTAATGTATGAGTTGAATGAAATTGAAATTTTTATGAACACAATGTTTGTTAACATTGATTACCCGTCAGTATTAGTGAGTTCTTGTATGACCGCATGCGAGCCCTCGTGAGCATAACATCTGGAGACCATTGAATCGATACCATCTCAACACATAATAAGTCATGTGAAGAAATATTTATTATTTTTTAAGCCACAAAAAATGAATAAATATAATGGAAAGCATTTTTCGGTGATATAATAGTTACCGATTTCCTTGATTCTGATGAGAAGTGTGACGTCCTGTCCCAAGTCGACGAAGCCCTCGATCGGCTTCAGGAAAGGGATTCTACCCCTCATGACATCCAAACGGCATTCGAGTGAATCCGTGACGTGAGAGAGGGTCAAGTGATGGCTTCGCATTTGATGCACCTGTATATGTGTGGCCCCATCCATGCCATACACGCCATACAGACTCTTTGCACTCAACTTTGTGGTCGAGTTATGCGTTCGGTTCCCTTCACTTCCCATAACCCCTCGCAAGAGCACATTTCGCGGCCAACACTTCACTTCAATCTTCTCATCGCTTGACTGTTGAATATTGCGGTCGTTTTGAACGTACAAAACGAGTTCGTATTCCGAGTAATTAGGCTTTCAATTGATAATAAATAAATATATATAAATAGAAACGCAAAAAAATCAATACTAATAATCGAAACAATAATGGGTAATAAAAATGTAATTAAATATGGTAATAAAAATGATTTATTACTCTCATTTATATGTACCTCGTTGTCAGTATATGTGACACCGCATTCGCTGCTATTGGTAATAAAGTGAATCACCTTGCTGCCATTACCATATGACCTACACTGAGATGCAGTTCTCGAAAAGATTTGATTTGAATAAATCACTCCATAAAAAGGTTTCTCGAAATTGAATACAACTTCAAGTGATGTCTTATTACAAACAACTGATGCTAAAAGAGTATACATTATGTCCAAAGAGTTTCACAAATAATATGTCTTAAAATATTGTTATTTTTCTTACTATTAATAGGTTTTAGATCTTTATAATGTTTTTCAATTGTGGTGTCGAGTGAATTGTCTGTTGAATGTATTGACTAAATCATTGGATATAAAGAATACAGTATTATGTCTGAGACAAAGCCTTTCACATTGAAATAGATTCTATTATAGTATATAATACTTGCCTTTATTTTCACTGTTATCCAAATAAATAACAAATATATCATAAAGAAATTCATATTCTAGAGGAAGAATGAAACCTACAATTGAGACAAAGATGTCGTGCAATCTGAGACCAGAACTGAAATTTATGACAAAAAAATTGATGAAAAATAAAGGATTTTTGAAATTGAGTTATAAATGAGGAGAAATATAACTCTTCCTTATTTCATAACCAAAAAGCTTCAATGATTTGATTGAATAGTTTAGAGATATCTTAACTGTGGAAATGGCTGATGAGTCGGTCTATTATTTGCGAATCTTGTGGTGCTTTACGTTTTCAATCCTTCAGTACTTCACGGTTTGTCTCATTCAGTGAATTATTCGTCGTTTTTTCGACGTCGAGGACAACGAACTCGAGTCCAGTTAAGTGTTTATAAGGCTTTAGTCTTCAATACTTCATTCCTTTCTTTTTATTTTATTTTTCAAGAATAAAATCTTACATTTTTCGCCAAAAATGAATTAAGCATTTCATTCATCAAATAATAGGGTTTTACAAAAAATTAATTTAAATATTAATTAGATATTCAAAAAAATATACAAATGAAAAAACAACTTACATTATGTGTGTATATTGTGGTCAACAAATAATAACTATAATATTCACACCTAAAACCATATTATGTTATGTCTTCTGTCAACCAATAACTGGTTTGTCTTAAATCTAAACGAAAATTGAATTAAAAATTTGACGACATTTCTTAAATTTCATACAATTTCTTGAATGTATTTTTATCAGTAATTATTTCATTACCACTTGAAAGCCAAATAAATGACAACATATTAAGAATAGTCTACACTGTAAAAGGTTTTTCAAACTTTTAGTACTGGTTTGGCATTAAATTTACATAAATTTGATTAAAAAGAATTTCAGAAATTTTGTCAAAATATATTTTTATAATTTTAATTGAAAACGAATTTTTCCATTTATTTAATGCAGAATTTATAAATATTTGTCTCAATCAATCCTATTATAGATTCAATTATAGAATACGGAATATTAACAGAGAATTTCATGTATTATAAAATATAGAAAATAATATTTGCTTTGATTTGACTTATTCATCTCTCTCTCTCTCTCTCTCTTTCTCTCTCTCTCTCTCTCGTTTTGCACAATAAATACTCCCATCTCTCCCTCTTTTGAAGCATTTGGTCTGCATTTGAAGATAAAAATCCGGTTATTAGTTATCAAAACTGATTTTTAAACTTTCAAAACTGGAAAAGGTTTCTGTTTATTCAAAGAACACATCAATAAAATACAGGTATTTGAATCACTTATCAATGGAGACTCAATGAGTAGTCAATCAGTCTATATCTCTAACAAAGAAAATTAGCGACAAATGAAATTTTGGTAGTTTTTATATAATACTTTCAAAACCAAAAATTCCATAAATATTTCCATAAATGCATATAATCTAAAGAATAAGAAAATTATTGCAAACATTTAGTATCTATTTATGCGTTTTATCAAAAATTTTAATAATTATTATTATATTTTGGTAAAAATGTGGAAAATCAGTTCAATATCAATAATCCTTCGGAATTGAAATATAAAAAATACAAAAAATAGTAATTGAGTTGTTATTGAATCCGAGTTTACTCTCACAATGAGTACTGATATCAACCAAAAGCGAAATGAGAACTAGAATTAACTCTAAATTCTTGCTATCATTCATGCAATGCATTTGCAAATAAGGAAATCTTAAATAAATATTAGATTGAATTCAATCAAAAAATTTTATAATAGACTCAATGTTTGAGCCAATTATGTGGTCAAACAAACAGACAGTAGTGGACCGTAAAAGGTATTATGGCATCACATCTATTGGCCTAAACGTATATACATTACAAAAATCTACATCTTTTCAGTCAAAAACGAGTTTTTAAAATCTGAAAATATTTCCAAATATTGAACTCCTGTTTAACGAAAAACATTTAAAATACAATTTTTTTATTTCCGAATCAGATTTGTTTGAATCTGAAAGCAAAATATTTCAATGTTTTTGTACGAAAGTTCACAATTTTAATTATATTTTTTATAATCCGGTTGTCAACCGATCATAACGTTTAGCTATCAGTATAATTAATAAAAGTAATACTAAATTTATAATTCTAGAAATTCTGTAGTAATTTTTGAAATATTAATATTAAAATATATATTATTTAAACAGAGAAAATATTTGTGACGAAAGTATTGGAAAGTGAAATGATCAGGATTTTATAGTTACAAGCAATTGGTAACAAAACTCAGCAACTTTTACGAGTTTCCATACAATCATTGAATTAATGTTCGGATCCAATGGTCCAAAACATGACTTTCCCTCTCTTTGATGCATTTTTAAGGATACATTAAAATTTTAAATTCTTATTCACGTAAATATTTTTATTCTCGCTAAAAATGGTTCAAAAATTGAAAAGTTCTCAAATTTTAAGGCTTAAGATTAAAGTTAAAAATTATTTTTATTGCCATTGTTTGTAATTTAATGTTTTTCTGGCACTTGACTTAAAACTTTGTGTAAATTTTTATAAAAAAAAGCTTTCAACGAAAATTTAAGGCATCAGTAGTTTTATTCCCAAATGCTTTTGTTATTTTCACTGCTTTTGAGAATATTTTTTCACTTTTCAATACAAGAATACAAGTGTCGGCTCTGGAAATGAATGTTTGGTTTTTTTTGTATCAAATTAAAACTTTTTACCATAAGATTGGCTTTACTTTACATGTGGTAATGAAATTGCATAACGAGTATCTCGTATTGAAATAAAATATATTGCATGTGAAACTTATATAAAAAAGTAAATTGTCGTGAATTCTGTATAAATATTGGGATTAGAAAGAAAACAATCGACTAATCGGATACTAATCTAAATATAACGAAATTCAAATTATATTAATTTTTGTTAATCTCATAGTAAATACATTAATCATATGTTTAAATGGAAAATAAAGTAATTTTTTTAGAAATCTAAATTTATTAAAGAATATTAAAATTACGTTTATTTAATGTTTTGAATTTTTATATGGAATAAAAATAGAAAGCAACATTATTATTATTAATCATATACTTAATTATATTATTTGTTTAATTATAAAGTATAAGTTAAATTATTTACGACAATAATGATAATTTAATAACATGATAAATCTAGTCATAATATTTTATGTAATACAGTTAAACCTCCCGTTCTCGAACTGGTCGGGACACAAGTGTTTGTTCGCGTTATGGAAAATTCGAGTTATAAATAAAATAAATTATTAATGAGAATAGTTCGAGTTATGTAATATTACATATTACTGTATGTATCAAATTTACAACAATATATTTGTCATATTTTCGTATAATAATTGTCAAAATTTAAACATATTTCACTAAAAATATTTTAAGAATGTTATTTGATATTGATAACATTTGTTATAATTTATAACTTATAAAATATATCAATATCTTTCCAATGAAATAAAATATATAATTATATAATTTAACAACTAATTAGAATTTTATTCAAATTATACACACCTCGCAAAATATCTGAGAATTCTGTGTAAGTGTGAATATAAAATAAGACAATTACATTTAACTTTAGTCAAATACTTTAAATAGTTTTTATATAGATTTGTGCAATTATGAACAAATTTATAGTCTTCTCAAAAAAACCATTTTAAATACTATACTTATAATTGAGAAACAAATCTCAGCACTTCTTCCGCTCCCAACTGCACTATTGTGGCGACAAATAAAGAAATGTGTGGCGAACGGCACAAACATCATAATTATCACCGAATATCTAACCGCATACGGCCTAAGCATTCAAACACTTCACCGCAACTATAATGCTATTCGGCACATGTCGTTGATTAACAAATTGACCAAAATTCGGGAGTTTGTGGCCATTCGCAGAGTCGGTGTTGTCGATACAAATGTGTTCATTGTATTCATCACCACTATATCAGTGCCGTCGGGATCGGCACAACGGGATGGGCACAAGTGCTATACAAAGTTTCCCTTACATTTAGATAGTGATCGTTAAATACAGATATGAGTTCATTAAAGGCAATTAAATAATATTTAATAAATATAAAGTGACCATATTTTACAAATATCAGTTAATGTTAATTATGAATACAATACTTATTAAATACAATTAAAATTGAATGAATTAAATGAATAATTTGTAATAAATAGTTGAATATGAAATGTTCAACAAATTGTTTGTGAATGCAATGAATGCAATGAATAGTGACATCTATGGTGTTGAAGGTATGCTATGGTATGTGAGGGTAGAGTGTATTGATTGCATTGCATGTCATGCTATGTCAGTCTCCGGAGAAATGTATTGCACTTTCAATTCAATTCAAATTGTGATCCAAAATCGATGTGTGTTGAAGGTATGCTATGGTATGTGAGGGTAGAGTGTATTGATTGCATTGCATGTCATGCTATGTCAGTCTCCGGAGAAATGTATTGCACTTTCAATTCAATTCAAATTGTGATTCAAAATCGATGACTCGTTTCAATGATTATATCATTTAATAAACTAATCATTCATTCATTGAATACATTATTTAATCTAACATTTGGTTAGACTTTGATTTCATCTCTCATTATATTTATTATTGTTTATTATATTGTTATTAATTCATTGATTGCCAACCGTTTAGTCCCTAATCAGCATAAGTTGTAAACAAAACATTGATTTAGTTATAAATCGCTATTTAATTGTGATTTACTTATTACTAAATAACTGATAAATTAACTGTATTATTGATTTAGTTTTGTGTCACTAATTGTAAGTATATTTACATCTATTAATAGTATTATTTATAACTATTATACTGTAGTTATTATTGAATGCCATTCACACGAGTATTGCAAACACTGATGACATAAACGTGTATTTTTTGATTATTAATTTGATTTTACAATTCATTATTTAACTCAACTTTTTCTCATTTAATAGTGAATAACATAACAATCGTTATAAACGTGTCATAAGTTATGGCAATTGATTACTATTAATATTAATAATTTCTCTCATTTCTCACTAATAGACACATATTTTTAATTGTGGCACAAATGATCAATTAATTGATTGATTAGTTATTATTAATCATACAATCAATGAATAAAGTATTGAGTATTTTCCGCCCAACACTTGTAAATAACTGTCTAAACATGTGTTTCAATACATTATATGCATAAAACTTATTGTTTTATTTGGCATTAAAATTGATTTTTTAATATTATTACTATTAATGTAATAATAATAATAAAACTGTTTGTTTGATATGTTTTGTCACTAAAAATGCCATTATTTATAGCGAAAGTGCTTTACTTTTCAATATATAGTTCACCAGAAAAATCAATTTATTTATTGAATTAATTTTTGTTATCGTTTTTCACGTAATATATAATAATATGAAATATAAATCAATGTTTGGCTTATATTTGTTTCAAATATAAATTCAGTGCTAAACGAGTGAATGATTTATACATTAGTTTTGAACTAAAAACTATTTTGTGATTTAATTACATTTAAACTCATTATCTCAACGATTAGCGTCTCATTTGAAGCGATGGTTAGGACTTGTATTGAGCGGTGTTTGTGGTAATACTGAGGACTCGGATGAAAGCTATGCGTAAACTATGCGAAGGAAAACATTTTATTTGATTGGATCTCTTTCTTTCATCTGTTGGACAGCAGTTCTCTGCTATCTATTCGTTCACAAACCAAATACCATTAAAGTATGTCTTGTTTTTACTAATCAATTATTGCCTCCAATTATGTCTAATTAACCACTTATTCATTGATTGAATTGCTTGTGAAGTATGTGTTTAAGTACGAAGAAGTGAACAAAGAGGTCGATGTCCTCGAGAATGAGTTGAGACAACAGTTGAAATCCAATGAAGTATTACTATTGACTTTGAAGAATATAAGGCAACAGATAATCAAAACTGGAAAAGACATAAAACATATTTTGGCCGAAAACCCGAGCGCTTTATCACTCGATCCGAAGCTAACTATTAATAAAGTGAGATATTGTGTGCTTTATGTTTGATTGCAAACACCTTTCGCTCATTATGTTTGCCAATCAATCATAGAAAATGTCAAACCATTTGGTTTGTGATATTAGCCTAATATTTGATACGTCTCTCCCATTTGATAGGATCCCGTCATTTGTGTCCTATTGTTTGCCTGTAATAGAGTTACTGTTAAACGAAATTTGGATCAATTACTCAAATATCGTCCGAATCCACGAAACTTTCCCATCGTTGTCACTCAAGACTGCGGTCACGAACCCACTCGTCGAGTCATTCAGTCATATGGCGATCAAATTACACTCATTAGACAACCAGATCTGTCAGACATTCCTCTCACTGGAAAGTCCAAGAAATTTAAGGGATATTACAAAATATCGCGTCATTACGGATGGGCTCTCAACCAGACGTTTCATGCCCTCAATTATGACACAGTCCTCATCGTCGAAGACGACTTAGACATTGCGCCCGACTTTTTTGAATACTTCAGAGCTCTCTATCCATTACTCAAAACAGATCCCACTCTCTATTGTATCAGCGCTTGGAATGACAACGGAAAGGAAGGCCTCGTCTCCAACGAAGCCGGTATTGCCACCAATTGAATCCATGATTACCACCAAAACATTCACTCATAACCACTCTCTTTGATAGACCTTTTATATAGATCTGATTTCTTTCCCGGACTCGGATGGATGTTAACCAAAGATGTGTGGATTGAGTTCCAGAACACATGGCCTAAAGCGTATGTCTCGACTCCTGTTGTTGTAATAGTGATGTATTTATACCTTAATTATGTTATGTCCAGCTTTTGGGACGATTGGATCCGAGAGCCGTCACAACGGAAAGGCAGGGCTTGTATTAGGCCTGAGATGTCTCGGACTCGAACTTTTGGCAAAATAGGGGTTTCCAAGTATTACACTATTCATTGATTTGTTTATTTGCAACGCTTTCTAATTGATTTGTTTATTCAATTGATTCAGTGGTCTCTTCTATGAAAAGCATTTGAAATATATTAAACTCAATGAACAGTCGGTGCCTTTCACTCAAGTTAATATAACATATTTATTAAAAGTATGTGTTGTATGCAATCAAATGAAATGGTATTCACATTAATGATTATGATTTTCAGGAGAACTATGACGTGGATTGGGTTAAGAAAGTGTATGGAAGTCCTTCTGTAACTCTCCAGCAATTACAAGGATCTGATATTCCGAGTGAAGGTTCGGTTCGCATCACTTACAGTACAAAAGATGGTTATAAAAAGACAGCCAAAGCGCTCGGTTTGATGGATGACTTCAAGGTATTGGCATTTATTGCTTTGTCGGTGGACTCAATGATTTGATGCCATTTTATGTTAATCCCTCTGCAGTCAGGAGTGCCGAGGACTGGGTATCGAGGAGTGGTCACATTCATGCATAAGGGGAGGCGTATATATTTGGCGCCTCCGCCCTCTTGGAGAGAATACGACATCACTTGGAGATGATTTGGATTACAGACTAGTGATGGTGTGTCTCGAAGGCAGCATTTGTTGATTCTTAGAAGATTTCAATTGTTAAATGTCACCACATTTTATGTGATATCAACACAAACTGAATGGTCGTCTCAATGGACGAGACGATCGCTACTACTATTACTTCTGGGGTTTTGGAGTCGACATAAATTAGCAAAACTCCAGATTTCTATTACTCAAAACGTTTACAAACAATCAAACAATTGTTTTTTAAGTGCAATCCATCTGTCATTTATGTTGTTTTACACAATTTTTAAAACATTCATTTGATTAGAAGCCATTCATTACAACTTTTATTTAATAACTAATTTAATAATATAACTTTTTAATTCTCTTTACTGAGTATTGTTTAAATTTAGGTAATTTTTAAAATATGATTACAATTTACTTTAAGTGTAAAACTCGCCTTAAAATTAGGCTTTTTTTGAGCGCCAGACGAAATCAAGTCTAGTCTACAACAAGTGATACAAAACAATAAAAAAAAACACATCCAATCCTTTTGTTATTTAAGTATCACTTATTTGTAATGCATTTTATGTTTGAGATTTGTCTGCACTTTATTTGTTATTATTTTATTAATACATAAGATGTTCTATAATTAGTATATTTTTTTAATTTATATAAAATTACATTAAAACTCATTGGCTCTCCATTATTGACATGTTGTCTGAAAGCTTATTCATAAAAAGTTGTCGGAAAACTGAAATTATAATTCAATGTAAAATTGATTATTTCAATAGAAAAGTTATTTGATATCAAAGTGATTTTTGGACACAATTATTGCTCAATAATAGTATTGTTTATTAAAACTAATAAAAGACGTGCCATTCATTCATTACCACTCGTTTATATGATTTCTTTCACACAATTAAATACTGTTTACTGATTGTAAACATATTTATTTGAAATTCTAATTGCATTTCTATATTGACATCAATTAGAAATACAGGAATTTTGTTGTCGTTTTTGATGCATTCTTTGGATCCAATTATAGCAATGGGTTTGAATAAATGATAAATCAATAGATGATATATTCCATAGGGATGTCAAGTCTATGATCTACTGTTCATTCCTTATCCATAAAGTGAGACTAACTCTAACCCTAACTCATATCACAATCTCTATCGCAACTGCTTTTCTGTAAATATTGATCGCAAGACTTGTGTATTCATTGCATTTATGTCTCACAGAATATCGTCTCGTCTAAAAGGCTAGAATTTGTTACACAAAACACTTTATGACATCCTTTTTATGCATTGTATTACATATTCTGTCAATTCTAATGAGTTGTTTTTGCTGTGAATCGTTTTAGTATTTCCATTTGAATACTAAATATTTCAATATTTTTGATGCCTTTTACAACAATTTATTCATCAGTGAATCGTAACTCAATTTTGTGATTATTTTTACTAAATTATTATTTTAACAAATATTATAAAATGGTTTTGAAATATTATTAATAGTATAATATTAATAGTAATAATATATTTAATCAAATAAATGGATTCCAACGCTTCTGAGAATCATTTATCGGAATTAAGCCTTAATTATAGCGATAGAAGCGATTCCGAGTCAACACATTCAACACCAGAAGATGAGAGAATCAGACGATTATTCTTCACGTGTGATAAAAATGGTGACGGATTTATCACATATGACGACATTAGACAGGTTTGTACACAATTGGAAATGGAGTGCTGTGTCGATGAGATAATGAAGGAGTTGGGCGCCGACATCAATGGTCGTATCTCTTACTCCGATTTTGTTAAGAGAAGATCTCAATTATTGGATGTAAAATACAATTCTGACACTTCGGAAGAATGCGATTCTTTAAGCGAAACGAAGAAACCTCTGTTATCTGAAGATTACTGTCAGACATACAGTTTCGAGACAAATAGTAACCTATCATCGGCTGAAGAGCCAGCCTTTGCAACACTTCCGAGTCATTCTTCAGTATATTGTGAGGAAAATAAACCGATTTGGGATCAGAGAGGGGTCAGAGTGCATGAGAATGAAAGCAGTGGTCACGAGAGTTGGGAATACGATTCCGGCACTCATGACCTCGAGATCGATATTATATCCCTTCACAAACAGATTGAGGCGTCGGGTATTGAAATGCCCTCTAATGTCAACGAACTCTTGGATTTGGCAAACAGAGTATGTTTTGAATTTTGATTTATAAAATATATAAAAATATATGATTTACAAATCTTATAATGAATACTATTTGGTTTTAATGTTGATTAGTATTACATCGAGTCTATAAATGCCATCAAACAAGACAAACGCCAAATATATGACAAATTAAAATCAATTCTTCGTGAACACGATTTTCTACAAAAACAGATCACTTGTCTTAAGGTTAGAATTTTTTTGTTTTTGATTACATTCTTCTATAATTATCATTAAATATAATAAAATTTACCGTTAAATACATTATGAAAAATGTTATTTATAATGAATAGGAAGAGAAGATACTTATAATAAAAGACTTGGAAAAGAAAAAATTAAAGGAACGCAAGGAATATGAGTGCAAAATAACAGAATTGCAATCAATTATTGGCGAATTGTCTCACGATTTGAATTATTATCAATTTTTGACGATCAAAGAAGAAGAAGACGACGACTCAAATGATACACATTTGGAGAATAATATGGAAATAAATTGTCAAAAATCTATTCTCAACTCAAATACGAATTTAAAAATGGAAATTAAATGCAATGAAAATGAAAAACTGTCCGAAAATGACTGGATTTTGTTTGAAAAGGAAAATACAGACGAAATGACTGCTGGAGATGACAGACATTCAAATGCGTTACAAATCGATAGACTCGAGAGCAGAATCACTCATCTCGAGACTCAGATCGATCTCTCGGCTCTTCATCTCAACCAAAGCAAAGAAAGTACTGAAAGGTTTGCTCTAATAGTCTAACGAATCGCATCGTGTGTGACATGTATTATGTTTCTAACAATTAGATTAAGTGTTTTACTCGGAAAATACGAGTCCAATAACACTGCACTGGTATTGGCTCTCAATTATTCAGATAAGGCGTTGGAAATAAATGAATTATTGGTCGCTCTCCTCAAGACTGAAATTGGTTTAGTGTTAGCCAATTGCCGAGCGGCTGGAGTCGGACAGACGGGTGATTATTAACACTCAAACGATAAACTTATGTAAATTAAAAATATATGTTTGAATTACAGGCAATACATCAGAAGAGGAAGAAAGAGAAGAAGTGATGCGAATCTACGAAATGGCAAATCATCGGAGAAAAGTAGCCGAAGAATTAGCTCTTGATTATTTGACTAAATATTGCCCTGAATTTGATATGAAAACGAATAACACGTTTACTCGAGAACATGAAAATCATTTAAAAGATATTTTAAATAAATTAAAAGATGAGAAAAGTGTCGTAAAAAACTCTATAACAAGAATAGAGCCCTTTATAATAGACTCCGATAAAGACATCGAATATATGAATGAATCGGAAAAGTGTTGTTTGAATTCTGTTATGGATGTCGAAGATATGGTTGCTCTTCAAGATTTGGTCTCAATTAAAGTACAGCAATATTTGTGTTTTTTATAAACCATGAGTTTAATTACAATTTATAAATATTTATTAAACAGGAAATGAATGCAAACTTAAGATCACAGATATATACACTACAAAATGAAAATTCAGATCTCGTCGAAGAAGTGATACAATTTAAGACGATTTGCGAGAAAAATAAAATGTCAAAACATGATAATGAAAATAAAACGAAACAACTTGATGAAAATAAGATAAATCATGAATCGATGGAGAAATTAACCAAAGCTAATGGGTTTGTGTGACTGCTATTGAAAATATTTTGAACTAATTGTAGTATACTTTATATAAACACAATTCATATTTATTATGCAATTGACAGTAATTTAATGAAAGAATTGGAAAGAATTAAAAAGAAATATACGATTAAAACGAAAAAATTGGAGCAAAAGATGGCTTCAATAAGCCATCGGAATAGCGCTCACGTATGCATACATTTAATATAAAATAAACATTGAATTAATTCATGATTTATCTATAGATTAAAATATTACAAAACAAGATCAGTCTATTGGAAAATGAGGGTTCCGTCAGGAAATGCATTGAAACCACAATTTAATTGTAGATCTCATTAATAATATTTAATTGCTATTAATTTATGGTTTCATCGTCTCATTGTCCACAACGTCTTGATATTAAATTTAATTTTGTTTCTTTTGAATAATTAAATTCAAATTAAAATGTTTAAAAGTACACTCAATTGCCTTCAATTCGTATATATATTTATATTTGTTTTATTTATTGAAAATTTTTCAAATATTTATACAATTTTTTAAGGTGAAATATCATTTTAATCAATTCATATCAAAATAAATTATTATATTTTAATTGCTATTGGATATTTTAAAATTTTGTTGTCTTAATAAATATAATTCCGATTAAAGTTTACATAAAATAAACATTATTAACAATTAAAGTTGTAATTTGTAATTCTCTAAATCAGATTGGTTTTTATACTGGATTTACTATACTTTAACATGTTAGTATCAAGTGAATTAAATTAAATTACAATAATAAAACAAGTTTTGACAATATAATTAAAATTGTGTGAAATATATCAACAAAATTAAAAAATAATCAAAATTCTTAATGTAAATACATTATTATTTTATTAGCAAAACTATTTCAATGTTCACACATTGGGGTAATTTTTAATAATGATTATGGTAAAAATAATAAATTCGCACACATTGTAAGTTATATTCAATAATAATTTATTTTATTTGAATAATTTATTATTTAGTATTTTATCATTAAATTATAAAAAAGCAATTCTATATAAAAACTTATAAACAAAATATCGATTAAAATAAATATTAGTAAAAAATTAAATCAATTGATAATAAATAATAATAAATATAAAACAATTTTATAAGACCTAAGCTATGGATGAGAAGCGATGCGGAGTCCAAGTGGTTGTTGTTGTTATGTATGTATTAGTATAATAATCTCAATTGATTGACCCAGTTCATGAAATATGTAACACGGGTATAAACATCTGGAAATCCTGTTTTTCAAGTAAAATTCATATTAATATTTGTTTGGCATCTATTGTATGTGCTTTACCTCTATTTAGACAGTTTTACAAACAATATATACAGTTATTAAACAGTTAACACCAAAACAAACAATTTCAATGTTAATGCAAAAAACCCAATAACTAGTTATCATGTTTAAAACACAAAACATTGAAATTCAAAACAACTAACAATTTAATTGGTTTGTCAGTGACTGTCAGTCTTAATATTGATTAATTATATCATATGTAAAATTGACAGAAAAAGTGAGTAAACTTTTAGAGAACAGACCTTCTTTAGCACAACCGGAGCCGAAAGAGGTAATGCCCGCCAAATGCCACTGATTTCCTATTTTGCACTGAAGAGGTCCACCAGAATCACCCTTTCAATCAAGAATAACAAATCTATTTACTAATCGATCAGGTGATTGCATACCGGTAAATAAGCGTACGTGACACGTGCCCTTTCCTCCTATAGGAATATTAACATTTAATTAATTGCTTGGTTTTCATAAACATAGTATTAATTAGCAAGAAATGAGAACTCATTAAACGATTATATTTTGGGCCATAATTTGAATCTAATTGAAGAGATCCTTCAATCAATTCTTAATGATTTAATGCCTAAATCCTATTGAATATATAAGTGATTATTGAATTGGCATACCTTTGCCATCACTAGTGCCGGCACACAAATGCCAATTCCTGATCCCGATCTTGAATTTAGGAAAGTATGCCTTTTGACACTCGGAGTTATCAAACACTTTAATTCTCACTTTTTGCAGTACTTCTGCCCCCTTCTTGTCTATTATGAGAGAAAATACATAATTATTTGAAATTAAAGTTGTTTTTGATATATGATGTCATACTATAATCAATTTTGCCCCAACCGGTGGCCACACACTCCTTGTCATAAAACTCTGACTTCACATCTGGTGGTAAGCAAAGCGGTTGGACGTATTCTGACGGCTCGATCGGGTCTTTAAGCTTCATGAGAGCGATGTCGTTGTCGTACCCCCTATACCACGGATAGTGGAACACATGGGCCACCGAATGAGTGGTCTCATGACTCTCTGGTTCCTTCTGGTGATGTTCGCCAACTGTTTGATGAAATGATTATAAATTGTTAATTTGTTTGAACAATACCATAATGTATCATGATCACAATACCTCTTACTTCCCAATGCATAGCTTGAGGTAATGTGAAGAGTGGACTGTAATAGTAATGAGAATTTGTTATAAACTTTCTAAAAAACGGTAGCATTTGTTGTGTTTATTAATCAAAAGTTGAATGACTTTAATATGAAAGAAGTCATTGAAATGAATATTAAGTTTATGAGACAACATATGATCCTAAAGAATGTAACAGTAATTAAAACTCGCAAAACTAGTTGTCCGTCGATTTCAGCTCTTTATTTGTCACATCGTTTGACATTCTTTCACATAAAACACGAGAATTTCATTTTCCGATATATTTTTACTAAATTGTATGTAATTTTCATACTTTATAATACAATGCGCGGCAGTTATTATCCATTGAGTGTCGATTAAAACACCTGAAAATTGAGAAAATATGTTTAATTGCTTTGATTTACACTTTAGTTTTTAAAAAACATTAAAATTATAAAAACTAGATTTTGAAAAACTAATCGTCGATCTGATAACGAAATTAATGATATCCTTTACTAGTAATATATGTTTTAATTTTTTATTGTGATTGTTGTTAATTATATCGTAGATTACAATCTAAACTAATAACTCAATTAAATAAAATGAAATAATAATATAATTACCTCCACACCAGTGTCCGACTTTACCCGCTTGAGGATGTGTTAATCTGATTGATACCTAATGGTAAAAACAAAATCAATGTGAGCAAATTGATGAATGTGGATTCATGTGCTGACCTGCCAGGGCCATTCTCCCGGCTGAGAACTGTTTCCACCCACTATTCGCTCCGTTAATGGACTTTCGTTATTAAACTTATTAATACCACAAACTTTGTTGAATAACCAAAATTGAAATCATTTGTTAGGTTATAATGAAAATGGTTTGTGAACTACAGACCCGATTCAGCTGTAATGGATCTCCACAACGATAATGAGCTCAATATCTCAAAGATCACCAGAATTTGCATAATATATTAACAATAAAACAATTCAGAGCTCAATAGATATTCAATCGAAATGAATGACAAAAATGACATTAGATTAGCGTTTATTCACTCAACGAAACAGTTGTCGAAAAAAATTGATTAAAAAACAGAAAACTTTTGGATTCAAACCAAAAGTTGTCGAACAGACAGACCTTATTTAATATCCCGCGGAAACATTCAGGCATTTCTCAACTGATTTTCGTGTGACTTCTTCTCATTTCTGGTGTTCACTTCTTGTGCGACTCGTATCCCAAACTCCACCTCAAAATATATATACAGATACACAAACCTGTGCTTCAACTCCCGATCCGATCGTGACCTCAACCACCAGTAACTCATTCCTACGAAATACAGTACAACCAGAGACTTGTGTTTCACTTGACGTTACATTTCATTAAATTATTTATTTAACAACTGATAAGCTTTTGAATTAATTATATTTTCTTTTTTTAAAGCAAAGGATATCATAATTTACAAACCTTTTTGATTATTACCATTTCGTTTCTGACAAATTATGTAACAAATCGACATTTATGTCCGATTTATAACAAATAAAAAGCACATTATATATCGTTTGGTTTTTATATTTCAATTTATTTGTGAGTTTATTCATAAAAAATTATTTTAAAAACTATTTATAAAATTTTAAATTATTGTATAAATTAATTACAAAAAACTTAACAAAATCAAGAAAACGCTAAATTTGAAAAATTATATACAGAACTAGTGGTGAAGCGATCGGTTTGCTTATCAGTGGATCTAATGATGCAATTATTTCAATGCAGAGTGTGTTTGGTTTGGTTCAAAACTAATCGCAAATTGTTTTTTCTTTTTAACTGATGAGGTGCTCAACAAACAGTGTTTACGAGGTGTGAATTTGGATCCAATCGACAAACTCTGATATACGGGTATAAACGCCAGGAAGGTTAGGGCGCGCACAGCCAACCCCTGTCATTAACAGTCAAATAACGAAACTATAATACAAGTCCTGTTACACACAAATGGGCACTTGAATACAGACCCCAAGACACGAGTCCAATGAGAGTTGTTTTGCCCTCTTCTTTCAGACTTAGAGGACTGCCAGAGTCTCCCTGACACGAGTCCTTTCCCCCGTCCTTATATCCGGCGCACATCATATTCGGGAATATGCTTTCCCGTCGGCCGACACTCTTCATCCACTTCTGGCACTCATCCGAATCGAGCACTTCTACGTCAACCTTCTGTAGGACTCCGGGCGACGTCGAGATGCCGTATTGAGTGCGACCCCAACCCGTGGCCGTCGCCTTCTCGCCCGTAAAGTTTTGACCTAATGTTCACATCATTTCGAGTCAACAACAAAAATAGTTTTGAATTAAACACTCAAATCAATAATAATGATTACTCTATAATTATTTGCTTAACTTATTATTATGTGTTTAAAAACAACTTCTGTACTAAAATGTTAATTATATGTAATTCTATTATATTTCCCCTTAAATGCATTTTTAAATATCCGTGTATTTTATAAATTAAAACACAAAATCAAAGAAACGCTTAATTAATACATTTTGAATGAGTGAATGAATAAAATTGCTTTAAATTAAATCAATTGTTTTCAAACAATTTTTTCTAAACACTCGAAAATACAAATTCACACTCTTTTAACACAAAATTTATGACCGTTTCTCTGATTTGCAATATTTATAAATCTATTATTAATATTATTATAATAACAACAATAATAAAAATCTCCAACAACTAGAAGATGAGACAACTTTTTTAACAAAATTCAAAAAACAACCAAACAATAAAACTTTAGGGCTTTTTTATATGACCTTAAAATTAATATAATTTAATTTAACCAAAAAATTCATTAACAAACAAGAAAAAGATCATTAAAAAAGCCGATGAAATCTTATTGAAACGAAAATTTTTATGAAAATATATAATAGAATTATTGCCAAAACATTATTAATTATGGTTTAAATTGTTAGCAAAGAAAGAAAGTCATACCCTTTTGAGGCAAACAAATGGGAATAATATGTTCCCTGAAAGCGATTTGTTCGCTGAGCTCAAGAAGTGCGATATCGTTTTGATAAGTGGCCGGATTGTATGCCTCGTTAACCACTTTCCGGCGAACCCCGTATTCTTCGTGTGCCAACTGTTCCGTATGAGCCCTCAAGTTGTAGTCGCCGAGCCTTACGCGCAGGTTATTAGCTGGAGTTCTGCAGACATAATAACAGATTTTTCAGTGTAATTATTAAGCAATTAAGAGGAAGTGTTATATAAAGTGATTTTTAAGGGGAAAAAGTGTGCATTACTTGTAGACACAATGGGCTGCCGTTACAATCCAACGGTTCTTAATCAAAGCCCCGCCACACGAGATCTTCTGATTAAAGTACTGTTGCTTAACAATAGCCGCCTGCCATGGATTGTGACCGAAGCGGGCGTTTTCTCCGCCAACTATTTTCGGCCCTCTATTGAAGTATATTTTCCCGCATTCTGTCGTATATAATATTATGAGTGAATACAAGTGTGAATCAGGTGTACATGTGATGAATACCCGGCTCATTGATGGGCTCGGATGTGGTGACATTGGATGAGGTGGTGTTGAGGGGCACTTCGTTGGGTATACAACAGCTCCAAAGGATGCCTCCGTTGCAGAGGTCGAGCGGTCTCTTTCCCTGCATCCAACATGAGATGCCGAGACCGCACGGATAGGTCTCGCTCTGGTAGAAACATTGTTGAGGAAATGCTTCACAAAATGACAATAAAATGCATTGAAATGTGTGTTACAATTGAATTGATTGCTAGCACTGATAGACTTACACAATATATATCTGGCAATACTTAATAAGTTCCACAGAGTTTGCGAGTTTTGTTTCAAGTTTTGGCTCTGGCTTTGACTGGGACTCGACTGGCGATTAGTTTTCGATAAATGGGATGTCAATGAACTGGCAATGGATGAGAGGGGGTGTAGGGGCGAGAGGGCCGCCAGTGGACCCATTCGGCCCCCAATATAGCCTATTGTCGGCCGGAACTCAATGATACAAATGATGACTAGAATTGCATCAATGCTTCTAAACATTCTGTCATTTGGTTATAAAAATAGGTTTTTGTTAATGAAATGTTAAACTCTATTTCATTTAGTAAACTAAATTCACCTCAATATTAATGTCACCTTTTATTATAAATAAAAAAGTAAATTATATTTTCATATCTAATCCCACAGTAAATACCCATAAAAACCTAGAAATACTATAAATAAGCATAATATTTAAGATAAGACCATAGTTTAGAAAAATATATGGAAAAAAGGTCAGATTTAATCCCAACAAGATTTGTATATCTGTCACAAATCATAGCAAAGTTATAAATATAGTCACAGAAAAAATGAGTTAAATTTAAAACATTCAATGCTTACCTATTTTGAAAAATAATGAGTTTCTCAGAAATCCTCTTCCAGTGGTTTTCGATGAATATTCAAATAAGGATTTCATCCATACATACATTAAAGCACTGTATAATCGCTTCAATGTATTGTTAAACAAATGTCAGCGCATATTATGAATGAACGAAACACTTTTTTGTTGAGAGAAAATTTATGAAAATTTAAACCAAAAAAACAAAATAAAAAGTTTTTGAGAAAAATAAGGGAATTTTATGAGCAATTTTAACGATACGAGTGCTCACAATACACAACAAATAAATGATATTTTTGACAACATTTGGCATTTCTTTAGAGTCTTTGAGAGGAGAAGAGGGAAAGAAATAGTGAGAGAGAAGTAGGTCTCGACGTGCGTAAGGACTGAGTCTATGGTGGGCTAACTGTACGCCCGGTCTTCACAGTTAGAAAAACTATGACAAATGAATGCACTGTTCGTACGGACTGTTGGCTCGTTTTGCGATCCCAAGCGCTGACACCATTCATACCACCGATTCATTGAGTTGTCTCTGAAGACAAAACTCTTTATACATCACTTCAAACACAGCCAAACGTAAACTCTATTGAAGACCGGACTAACACATGGATTACTTTTTTCATAGGTATATAAAACTTAACCAACAGTTATATTCCACACAAACAACTGTTTATATTCATAACTGGAAAACACGATTGATTTGAATATACTTTATATAAGAGTGAAGTTTGCGTTCATAAGTGTGCGTTCATATCGTCATCAAAATCAATATAGCGATAGCTATAGCTATGTGTTGCATATCGTGGGCACTGAATATCGCATAAAAAATTATTATATATTTATTTACCGATAATTAAAGTGGAAATTGATTAAAACTAGAGTCGAAGTCGAGTCTACAAAATGATTATTTGACTGCAAAAGGCAAGCAAAGCCTTACCGTTAGTATTGTCTCGTTTATAGACTAGTTATTGAAGTGCTATTAGTGGCACACAAACTACTCTACGGTTGTGACCCATTTCCTACTATTACACACTCCTATGCTATTATATAATGCTTTTACGCTAATTTCAAGATCAGGGTTATTGGTTTAAAAATCCTGCTCACTATACAGTGTATAGTATAGTTCATTATAACTCAATATAAATCAGACACAATTCACTCGATTCGACAATTGTCTGAATAACTGTTTTGTAGATTTGTTTCCCAAACAAATCATGCGATTCTCTCTTCTTCTCATCGCTTAGATTTACCCAAAATTATATAATTAACATAATATCCAAACATATAATGCATTCGAGTTTTAGTTTAACTAATAACGAGGAAATTGGCCTCAAATCCCAATACACTGCATAACATTTCATTTATATATTTAGCATTTTGTTTAACAATTAATACAAAAATATATACAATGTATTAAAGTTATAAATGTTAAAAAACACAATAATTTATTTGTATAAATTTATAGCTCCCCCATTATTATATGCATATGTATTGTAAAATTTATATTAAATTAGCAATAATTTTGTTTACAATTTATAAATACTTTAATACCACTAGATTTACATAAATCATAAATTGATAATTATATTGAAATAAAATCATAGTAACTCTTGATTGCTGTTGTGTGCAGTAATTGTAAAAATTTACAATTTATTATGAGTTAAGAAAATATTTTGGACAAAATTTGAGGTCAATTCTCAACACACATCCCATTATTTCTATATATATTACTGAAATGGAAAAACGTTTGGGAAACTGAATAATCATTTCCAACAGATTTCTATGGATTTATTATTTAAATAGCATATTAACGACGAGAGAGAGAGAGAGAGAGAGAGGAAAACTTGAAAAATTAAAAGTATGTTAGATTTGATAATTGGACTAAACTATGGAATATTAGCCACGAGTGATGGCTATAATAATATGAACTAAAATTCTTAATATTCCCCCAAAAAACCAGGAAATCCTGGCCTCCATTGACGGCCAAAGCATTGCTATTGTAATTGTAATCACTTTATATTTCAAATGAAAATAAATATTTATGTCTTTAAAAGACGAATATATTTCAAGTTTTGTGATAAAACTCGTTGAATCAGTATTTATTGAATTCAATTTCATTTATAGTCTTTTATATAAATTATCTGTAAAATCATATCTTTAATGCATTATATAATACACAAAATATTAGTTTTTTAGTAAAAGACTGTTTTTGAATGTTTTTTAAAACAATCCTTTTGTTATTTTGCAAATAGATTTCAAGGGATTTAAAAATATATTAAAAATTTAATATTAAAAGTATACAATTTAATCCTCAAAGCAATAAATTTTAATTACATTACATAAACTATCAATAAAATTGAGAAACATTTGTTTTGGCTTTGAAAAGGCAGTACTATTTAATCACAAGAGCTAACACCCAATACATTCAAATAATTTATGTGCTTTTTTATATACTTTATAACAAAATGAATTATACCTTAAAACTTGACCACAGGATGTATTTAAGGATATATTCAGCAAAAGATTTAAGCCATAAATAGCATTAGTAAAGAATGCCTCCAAAATATCTTTCCCATTAAATTTAGTTCAAAATAATAATACGTTTATAACAAAAACACATTTCAAATGATTGGACAACAAGTAATGAATTGTAAAAATGCAAAGATTTATTAAATAAATAATGAAAAATTAATTTCTCCCTAAAAAACATGGATAAAAAACAACAACTGAACGAAGAATTTGTTGATTACAAACATTTTGGTTTAACAGTTGAGTAAAAATGCTAAAAATATTTAAATATTAATTAATTTAAAACTATTTTTTGATGTTCTCGATAACCCAGTCGACAGTATTGGAGACCCTGTGATAGATTCCGGGTTGTCTCGATTGGGCGCAACCAAATCCGGCTGATGTGATGCCGGCCAGAGTCCACCTGCCATTCGTGTTGATCACTAATGGACCGCCAGAGTCGCCCTTTTCATACGTGTTTGGCGTTCAAAATGTATTCAAAATGTTTAAGTATTAATACTGAGAACTCAATAATTGCTATTTTTTGTTGTCATTCTTACAACACAGGCGTCTTTGTGTCCGTCTTCATATCCGGCGCACATCATCTCCGGGAATATCTTCAAATCGATTCCTCTGGTTCTGTGCCACTGTTCACACTCTTCGTTGTCAATTATGGGAACGTCTACTTTCTGTAACAGTCGAGTGCCATATCTATTGCCTATTGTTTTAATTTATGTTTAGAGCTGTAGTGCTTGAATGTTAAGGTAAATTGCAAAGTAACACTCACTTAATGCAGGATCTGTTTTGCCCCATCCGGTCACCACTCCATACCTAAACATAAATTAATATTTTTGAGTTAAGTATAACAATATTTCATGTGCTTAAATGGGTCAATGGTTATATAATATAACTTATATTAATAATATAAATAACTACCGTAATAATACATTAAATTTCTATTTTATCGCAATTTATTTTAATAATTGTGCCTAAATATGTATTGATGGACACATACCAGCCCTCGTAACGAAATCCTGGTGTTGGCAGACATACAGGTAAAACATTATCGTTATAGCGTACGGGTCTGTCGAGTCGTAAGACCGCGATATCGTATCGGTCGGGATGTGAGGCAGAGAATCGGAAGTTGGGGTGAAGTTTCACTTCTGTTACTCCAAAGAATTGCGGAGCGATATCTTGAAAGCGTTGGTCCTCTATATCATGCGCTCCTGTATTACAACAATTAGATTATTTCCGGTAATCTTAACAAATTTGTTGCCATTCCTTACCTATTATGACATTCAATTGTGGTATTGGAGCTCTAAATATAACACAAATTGACACATTAATTATTTTT